ATTTTTTAAAGTTTTATTCTATAAGTAAAAAATAGTAAGAATAAAACATATTTTTTTTTTAATGTACTAATGGAAATTTGTTTATCAACACTAACTCTGGTTTAATTTAATATGTTTTTAGTATTATCTTTGATATTGATTATATATATCAATTTTTCAAGAAATATAAATGCTGAAATTGCTTTTTAGTTTAATTAGAAAGTATCATAGTTTCACAAAATGATAAATTTTATCCATTTTAATTCTGTTATCTAAATATGGTATAATGTTTATTTTTTTTTTTATAATTTCATATTATTTTAAAGGAAAAAGAATTGAAACAAATAACTACTAATTCATCATCAGTGAATTCTTTAGCAAATTAAACTAAATGTAAGAGCTGCTATTTAAAATATCTCTATTCCAGAAAAGTTTAAAACGAAAAAAAGTTTCTATATATAGAAATCAATAATTCTTAATTTAATAATTTTTGGTTTAGCAAAATTGAATTCAGTTTTTAATTTTTTATCTTTTGGTACTAAAACATTTTAATGCAATTAGTATATTAATAAAGAAAGTATGAAAGTTATTTACTTTAATATTTTTAAAACCACAGACTCTTTGCCTTCAGAAGTTTGACATTTTATTAAATAGAATAGTATATAGAAACACAGTGCTTGATAATGATAAAAATCTGTTTTGTTTCCATTCTAATTTTTTTTAATGCTTCAGAAAATGATTGATTAAAAGGAATAATAATAATAAAAAGACTAGAATTGTGACATTGAAAGTTTTAAAGATTAACAGCTTATTTGTTTTAGCTTTTAATTGAGCTATGTAAATTGAATCAAAACAAATAAAATTTTTTCCAATAAACTAAACCTTGGTAAATCCAGCTACAAATTGAAATAACAATGTTTTCAATCAGATTTTACTGATCTTCTTCAGTTAATGTTTTTTGAATTTAATATTTAGAATGTGTAATTACAAATTAAACATTCTAAATAATAAATTCAGAAAATCAGAAAATCAAATTCCATAAAATGAATTAATAAATATCAAACATTTTAAAATTTGTAATATGTAATTCTTAATAAAATGTTGGTTTATTTGGGTCTATCCAATTTCTACACCCGCTTAAATAAAATTTCTTACCTAAGACTGAAAATTTTTAAAATTTATGTAAATTAAGAATAAAATTCAACAAATGACCAAATTAATCAAAATTTTAGACACAAATTTAATAAATTTATGTATACACCTAAAATAGTTTTATATTAATTGCATTAAATTTTAGACAGTGAAAAGATGAGGCTATGTTTCATTTGTTTTGTAAGGGATCATACTCTGGTGTACATCAAAAAATACATAGAGCAACTCTCAGCTTTAAGTTTTTAAAAACTTTTTCCACAATTTAAATTAGTTTAATCATTTTACAGGTATCACAATCTCAGTGCATCTGCTGCTATAATTCATGTTATAGCAATTCCTTCACCTTGTTTTTATGTAACCTATATACCTATCCCTCTACAAAGCTAATGGAGTTTACCCACATCTTTTCACTGTCAAAAATTTGATGCATCTGACTGTACATTGCAATTATCATTATGTGGTGTTGCATATATATCTTTCATTAAAATGAATTTATAAAAAATAATTTATAAGGATTTTGATATACAATGATATTTTTTTGAAGTTAATGTTTGATAAATTTTTTATATAATATATTGATGTTTTTTCCTATTAATTCATTTGCATAACAGTCATATCAACTATTGTTTACACTTTCATGTCATAACTATTGTCAATTAGCATTCACACAACAAATAGGAAATTTTTCCTGACATGGAAATTTAGATCAAGATTCTTCTGTTTCACAAAAATAATTTAGATTAAGTTTATGTTAATTTCAAAATTGTATCATTAATTTGATATGTTAAACACCATTATATATTATTTATAGTAGAAAATAATCAAATTATCAAATGAATATAAAAATTTTGTTTCTAAATTAAAATTTGTTAGTCTTCAAAGAAAAAAATAGATAATATTGATTAAAAATCTATTTAAAAATGTGTCAATAGTTTTTTTAAATTGTAAGAATATATTTTAAATATTTACATGAACTGATCAATTATCAATGATTTGTTTGCACGAAAAGAAAGAGCAAATGGTCTGGTAAATTTAAGCAAAATCAGAGTAAAGTTGTAAAAACTTACACTTAAAATATAATATGTGAAATTTGAAAATTAAAAATAATTTTTAATCTATTCTAAATTATTTTTAAATTTGTTATTGCCTATAAATCTTTCAAAATAAATTTCTTTTCTAAAATTTTAAAGCCAAAATTTGAAACAGAAAGTTTTAATATGATTCTTATCACAAACTCATAAATAAATATAAATTTATGCTTATTCTGAATAATATTTTAAAGTCAAATTTAAATCAGTCCTTGGTATTAATCTTGAAAAATATATGAAAGTGTAATTGCTTAATTATGATTAATTTATTATATGTATTATAATAACTTGAAAACAGTTTCATTAATTAATCAAGTATCAAATTAATCATTTCAGATCAAGCTATCATTTTTCTCATAAATATTGAAAGGGATAATTTTTATGCAACAAATTATGTACACTTTCAATTTTAAATTTAAAATACTTTTTTGTATAATTAAAAAATTATTCAAAATTTAATTTATGGTCAATGTACAATAAATAAAATTAAACAGTAATGCCAAGATCATTCAATTCCTATATCATGTTGGGTGTAGTGGGTTATACTCGGTTGACAATGGTATTATTATTTGAAATTAATAATTAGTAAATAGTTTCATTCAACAGAACATTAAACATGCAACTTATTAATGCAATTTTTCAGATTGTTATCATCTAAATTTTTTAAATCTTTTTTAACATTTAACACTATGTTATAAAATTAATAAATAAAAATTTAACAAGAAATTTATTGTAAACAATCTAATATTATTAATTGTAGTTAAGACAAAAACTATACTTTTATGAAGAAGTAAACTAATTTTTAGTTAAAGGGAAAAAATAGAAAATCTTATTGCACAATATACTAATAAAAACAGTTAGATATTTAACATGTTGTGTCATGCGTAATTATGCTGAATATTATTAAAAAATATATTAAATATATTTGTTTAGTTTATTGATTCAGAATACAAAATAAAAACTTTAAATTTGAAGCATTATTGAAATATAAATATATGAGTAAATAACATATGATTTTTTTTATTGTATGAAAAGTAAATTAATAAATTAGACAAGGTAAACATTTTAATATTATGCTTTATGACTATTTATTATTTAAAATTATGCATTGTAAAAAACATTTATTTTTTATTTAGCATATTCATCATGATTTCATTACAGTATTTTAATGTAGCAGTAATACAAATATGTATGATCTTGATGTTGTAAGCTAATGCAATTTAATGTAAAATACAAAACAATATTAAAAGCTTTTGATTTTAAAAGGACTTCTCTTATGTTATTTGAGACTTTATCAGTTACAAGATACATATTGTATTAAAATAACTGATGAAGCCTAAAAAAAAATAGCAAAAAGTACTTTTATCATCAAAGGCTTACAATGTTATTTAGTGTTTTACATTAAATTTATGTAGTAGTAGTAATATTATAAATCAAATATCTGAAAACTTAACTAAATAATTATCATGATGATGATGATTATAATTACTCCATTTTTTGAAGATTTTAATCTAATTTATACAGTAAAACCTCGTAAACTCGGCCTAATGTGGACCGAAGGGTGTCCGAGTTTGTGAAAATGCTGGGTTATCGGGAATGGAGTTAAAAAAATAAGTACGAGTGTTTCCTGAGAAAATACTGTACTGTACTTGTATGTATTGTTTACTTGAGAATATAACAGAGAATAAACTGCCCAAATACCCCTAAACAAAGGAAAAGTACGTCCTTTATGAAGGCATAGAGCCTTTACTACATGAAAATGAAAATTAATGAATACACTGTGTACAGTAATTTACCTGATAAGACAGACCTCAGAAAAATACNTGTAATTCACATCTAATATACAATACATAAATTTTAATGGCTGTCATAATTAAAAAATTTAAGAACATGAAAAAAATTAATTTTACACACTGTTTTTATAAAATCTTCTATTAAAATTCTTATTTATAAAAATATTTAATATATATTCTATATAATTGAGTTTTATATTGAAAAAAGAATATGTGGAATATAATTTTATATATTAAAAAAACTTTAATAAAATTATTCAATGAAAAACTATCCATGTTATAGGAAAATATTTGCCCCAAATTTTATCAGATTTTTATTAGAAATTCTAGGTGGAATTTTCAACATGCTGACTTCAAAAAAATTTTTGGGGTTAAAAAAGTTTATTTAAAAAAAAATGATTTTCTTATGAATTGTGTGATGGGTATGTTTGTTTCATAGTTTTTGTAAAAATTTATTATGAATTAACATAGTAAATTCAAATAGCTGTTAAAAGTAATAAATTCAAATAGCTGTTAAAAGTAATAAATTCAAAAAAATTCTTTTGTGGAAAGCATATCCAACCTAAAAAATAGTTTTGTTGAATATAACCAGTTTTTTATTTTATTTACTTTTTAATAATTTTTATATTATATATATAAAAATGTACTGACAATTCTGTTCAAGTTAAAAAAAAAAAAGATAAAATATCTTAATTATTGTATTATTAAAATTTTTCAAATATTATATATTAATTCAAATTTTTATAAAAATTATATGTAATTTCTCATCTTTAAACATATTTTATTATTACTATTAAATTGTATTATTATATTTTTATGAAATACATAAAAATCATTTTACAAAGTTTCATTAAGATAAATCTTGATTGTTAAATAGATTTTTTTAATATATTAATTAAAAAAAATGAGCTTAATGAAAATGTGATTTACTGATTACTTTTTTAAAAATAATAATATAATTTCCTAACATTATTTATATTAATTTCAGTATTTCACCTAGGACGCAGTCTCGATTCAATATACGGAGCACTTAACACCATCAATTTGCCAGATTTGACTTTAAGATTAACACTCACTCTCTCCAGAATCAATATGGCCCTCTATCTGTTAGCAGATAACATGCTGTGGATCGGGAGAGTTGGCCTAGCAAAAATCAACAAAGCAAAGTGGTCCGAAATTAGTTACAAACTGTGGTAATTAAATTATTATAACAATATTTTATATTCTTATGAATACTTAAATTATTCATAAGAATATAAAATATTGCTATATTAGTTATATTAACTGAAATATTTTGATTTCAGTTAATAAATTTAACTAATAAATTCTTTATAGCTATTAATCAAATGCAGTATACTCTTAAGGACTGAAAATATTAAAGTGAAGAGTTTTTCTAACAGCTTCACAATAGTTTTAAATATCAGGTTCCAGAATACATTTTAATAAATTTTTATTAATTTATTAGAAGATACAGTTTATTGACATAACCACATTTTCTAATGTGGTTTTAGAACAGATTATTATAGTTTACATATATGCAAACACTTTATTAGGAAGAAAAAAATATGTATTCATGAACTTAACTAGGTAAAAGCATTTTTTCCTCCTCAGAAATGTTTTTATTAAGTGCTTAAGTTCATGCATGTATGTATTTCTTGTTTTTTTGTGTGAAAAGATTACTGATAATTGATCATTAGATACGATAAAATATTTCTTTATAAACTATAATGATGTACTTGCATTTCTACGGATCATTGTAGTAATGCAAGTTTTCTTTCATGAAAAATTTTCTTGAGTCTGAAAGAACAAATAAATTTAATAGATCTATATATGTACAGGTAACCCCTGTATAACATGGCACTTTTATAGCACAGATTCACTCTGACACGGTTCGGGAATTGGGTAAAACCCTCGTACAACATGAAATGTAATAAAGGGTGCATTTTTTTATACCTCCGCATAACTCTGCACAAGCATTCTAATTGTTTTTGTGGCTACTTTGAATGCTCTTAAAACAAATATTTGTTTTAAGAGTATTCAAATCCATTTAATGGTTAAATTTTACAATTGGGACCCTTCTTTTGCCTCTAAAAGCTCATTTTAGAATTATAGATTCTTCCATCATGATATTATTGATAGTGTGGGCACCGCCATCTTTCTTTCACCGTTGTTCCTAAAACAATGGCAAAAGAATGCCTACGAACAGCAGCACACTCCCGTTGTAGAGCGACCACTATTAACGAATGCACCCAAAAACTGTTACCAGTTGGTGATGCTCATGCTGAGGTCATCATATAGGATGAATAATCCTCTGGTAAAATATTTACTTAAATAATAAATAAGTATTTTACCTATGAAAAATGAATAATAAATCTGATTTAAATAAGGATTTAACAGCATGTTTTTTAATTTTTGGAACCTAACCCCCCTTTTCGCACTAGTTCTTTGTTTTGTATAACACGGATTTGCATAACACGGCAATTTTTTGGAACGTAACTCCCGTGTTATACAGGGTTACCTGTAAAAAGATTTTTGAATTTTGTGTAAAGCATATAATATACAAAAATTATGAAATAATTTTTGTATATTATGTTATTTTATTGAACAAAGCATTCTAGAAAAATATAAAATTAATAAAAAATATTTTCAAAACTAAATACATTTGTAAACAATTTCATAAATTCTCTAGAGAGCGGAAAACTCTTTGTGGCCAGCCCATTCTGATGAGGCATAAACCCACGACCGAACTCCCAGTGTTTAGGGAACAGAACCACTTGGCCACTGGTGGGCCCGAATCCTTAATGAATGTTAGATCATCAAAAGAACTTCAGCAATGAATTTACCATCGAAAGGGTTAATATCCATTTTTTGATGGCTGAATCCGGATTTTTGATTATCCAGAATTTTTACCTCCAGATTTTCCACATTTCACTATAGTTTAATATAGATTAATTTTTTTTAAATATTAAATTTAAAATTTGGATGAAATTCTTCCAATTTTTAAGCTTCCCATATGACAGAATTTATTCTTTTATTTATGTATTTAATGATATGCATTTTGAGTATGTATAAATTACATATACTTCCAATCTACAAAAATATATTGATTGCATATTGCTTATTTTTTAAATCAAACTTTTAAAAAATATCTTTGCATCTATATATACCAAGTACATATAGGTTCTAGGATTCTACAAAAAATTAGTTTTTTCTACAGAATTTTTCATTTTTAAATTAATAATAATTAAAAAACAAAATGATACATTGTATAAATAGTATATTTCTTTATTATTTGGATAAGTTTTAAATTTTCAAATTACTGTATTATGAATCAGCAGACATGCTTTAAATATTTACTAATTTGTCCAATGCAAATTAAATACACTTAAATGAATTGTCTATCCAATTGCATGTAATTCACATCTAATATACAATACATAAATTTTAATGGCTGTCATAATTAAAAAATTTAAGAACATGAAAAAAATTAATTTTACACACTGTTTTTATAAAATCTTCTATTAAAATTCTTATTTATAAAAATATTTAATATATATTCTATATAATTGAGTTTTATATTGAAAAAAGAATATGTGGAATATAATTTTATATATTAAAAAAACTTTAATAAAATTATTCAATGAAAAACTATCCATGTTATAGGAAAATATTTGCCCCAAATTTTATCAGATTTTTATTAGAAATTCTAGGTGGAATTTTCAACATGCTGACTTCAAAAAAATTTTTGGGGTTAAAAAAGTTTATTTAAAAAAAAATGATTTTCTTATGAATTGTGTGATGGGTATGTTTGTTTCATAGTTTTTTGTAAAAATTTATTATGAATTAACATAGTAAATTCAAATAGCTGTTAAAAGTAATAAATTCAAATAGCTGTTAAAAGTAATAAATTCAAAAAAATTCTTTTGTGGAAAGCATATCCAACCTAAAAAATAGTTTTGTTGAATATAACCAGTTTTTTATTTTATTTACTTTTTAATAATTTTTATATTATATATATAAAAATGTACTGACAATTCTGTTCAAGTTAAAAAAAAAAAAGATAAAATATCTTAATTATTGTATTATTAAAATTTTTCAAATATTATATATTAATTCAAATTTTTATAAAAATTATATGTAATTTCTCATCTTTAAACATATTTTATTATTACTATTAAATTGTATTATTATATTTTTATGAAATACATAAAAATCATTTTACAAAGTTTCATTAAGATAAATCTTGATTGTTAAATAGATTTTTTTAATATATTAATTAAAAAAAATGAGCTTAATGAAAATGTGATTTACTGATTACTTTTTTAAAAATAATAATATAATTTCCTAACATTATTTATATTAATTTCAGTATTTCACCTAGGACGCAGTCTCGATTCAATATACGGAGCACTTAACACCATCAATTTGCCAGATTTGACTTTAAGATTAACACTCACTCTCTCCAGAATCAATATGGCCCTCTATCTGTTAGCAGATAACATGCTGTGGATCGGGAGAGTTGGCCTAGCAAAAATCAACAAAGCAAAGTGGTCCGAAATTAGTTACAAACTGTGGTTATATGCACTGATAATGAATCTGATTCGCGATGCCTATGAGATATTCCAGTTGATTCAGATTCATACCAGCAGATGTTCCACGTATCCATATTTGCCAAACTATATGGAATTTAAAGATCAACTACCAAGTGATATGTTATACAACAGACTCAGAACTATTTTGCAGTGGATGATAGTTCACAAGGACGTAACGCTGGATACTATACGAAACGGATGCGATTTCTGGATCCCGTTTTCCTCTCTGGGATACGTAAATTTATCTCCAGGCTTGGTGGGATTTTTGGGAGTGGTGTCATCTCTATTAGGCATGATTCCCATAGTGGATGCGTCGTACAAGCTAGTACCCAGTTAGTAATACAAGGTACCGCCACTCAAAAACAAACCGTACCACCACCGTACGGTTCAATCCAATTATTATTTTGTATATTATATAGTTTTAAATGTACTTGCTACAATGGAATCTTTAAAGTGATAAAAAGTAACAATTTTGAAACTGTGCTTTGAAAAAGTTATATGCACACATACAGAAAGTTTATTATAAATATATATGATGAAAGTGTGCTTGTGATACAATTAAATGATCTATTTAATAAAACTAAAGTTGATAAACCTATGGTGTGTTTAATTTTTGTTTTGTATGTTTGCATTAAAAAAATATTTGCTAAATGAGTTTATAGAAGTAACGAAACAGTTCTTAGCTGCTGTCCTAAGAGGAAACGGTGATTAATGCCAGTCTGTCGCGCGCATCTTACGGGGAGAGGATGCCCGGTTGCCATAGCAACTCGCACCTGATATTCTCTTAAGCGGACACGGCTACGGCCTTGGAGGGGGAGAGTTAATCATATGATCATAGTCGTCATCCAATCACCGACAGCTAAGGTGTTTACAATAAACAATTGTTTACATCGCCCTTGCTGTCTCTAGTGTAAACCCCGTACATGACTTTGCGGGTGAGGATAGGAACGCCATGTTGTGGAAAATTGTTTGGGGTTGACCGGAATGAACGGCGCGCTCATCACCTGACACGGAAGTCACCTCCGACAGTTTCTGCATAAACGGGCCGAAAATTACTCCTCTTCCAACGATAACACCAACAAAATACAAGCCGCCACATTTAATATCTCGTCAATTAAACGGTGATATTATTTTTTTTTGTTGTTCATTAATTGCAAATCACTCGAAATCATGAGATCGAAGTACACAAGTTAACCTCGCGTCTGCCCGCCTGCCAAGTGTGTCAATTAAGCCTAACGGGTCGTCCATCGCTTCCGAACGACTACGGCATTGTAGGTATGCATCCTATATCGACAATACTCCTTAGATATTGCTTTATTTATGTTTTGTATTGAATGGAAATTGCAAAACTGGCGCCAAGTATGGTTGTTGTTTGGCTATTTGGGAAGTTGCGCGAAAGTCTAGTGCGTTCATACCGTCACTATGACGACGTCTTAAACAACGAATAGGAGTTAGGCTTCGCGACACGTCCACTAAAATCGTCAATTTCAAATTGTTATTTTCACTAAAATATTTATTTACTCGTTGCAAACTCATCGAATAGACGAAATATGAATTAGCGAACAATTAAAATAATTCGGCTTAATAACGACAGGGTTAATACGGTTTGCATTTTTAAGACGTTTCGTTTCGTTCTCGCATACTTTAGGCCATTAATAAATCTGTTAATTATTTAATCTGTTCTTCTATAAATATTTATAGATAAGGAATGGCTATCGATAGATTAACATATAAACTATCTAAACAATATGTGTTTATGCTGTAGTTGTAGTATTAGCGTTATATAAATTGTTAGTAAATTAAAAAATTCCTAAAGTAGGGAGTAGATTAGAGATTTAAATATTATTTTTCTACATTTATATATTTAGAAAATTAATATTAAAAAATAACGTAATAAAAATTATTCTCATCTTTTTGTAAATTAAGAGATTAATTAAAAAGTTTTTAAATATAGGAATGGGAGTATGATTCTTGACTAAAATCTCATTGTTTAATTCAAATATCTAATTCCTTTTTTGGAAAATAACGAGGATTTTAGACAATCAAAAGTGGTTCGTTAAAGAAAATTGCCATTAGTTAAATCAGAACAGATCTGGATAACATTCAATTGTGACCTTACTATTTAGGGAATAAAAAGGCAGATGTAAAATTTGTTAGTGTAAAAATTAGAATGAATATTTTGTTTTTAATCTGTAATCAGATCATAGATTAATTTAGTTATTAAGTAATATATATTTATGTTTTCTATTTTGGTTATAAATTAATAAGGAATTTGCACTTTGAAACTACTATTTTTTTTTGTTTTTTTGTCAAATGCTATTTAGTGTAGTACAGAAAAGAAAAAGAAATTATTAGTGAGTAGTTTTAAAACTTAAAATTTAAAAATAAATGTGTTTTTTTTTTTATAATTTTTTTTTATTTAATCACATTTGAAGTTTTTGTTTTAAAATGCTTTTTTAATTTCTAAATAGGAAAAAAATAACAACTTTTTGGAAAGTTTAAATTAGAAAGATATTTTTGTAGACTATCAAGAAATAATAGTCATACTTTCAATGAAGAGTTAGGCTAAATTTAGAAATTGGAGAATAGCCACAAAATGCTTATTTATTATGGAATATATATTTAATGTTTTATGCCTTGTATTGAAGTTTATGATTACTTTGCAAGGTTGTTATTGCTTAAGTTTATAGTGGTAAAAGAACACATGTAAGTGACATTGCAAATCATAAAATATAATTTTCTAGTGTTAAATTTATGTTAAACAATTTTTCTGTTAGATTTATAAAGATATAGTAATATATTGTAACTGTAATTTATCAAAGAATTTTTAATATCTTATTTAGATTTCTATGCTTTTTATAAACATAACAGACATTCTAATTAATTAAATACATTTCTAAAATAAGAGCAAGCAATTCTTAATCTAAGATTTTATTCTTTAGCATTTTATAACATATTTAATTATTAATAAAATCTATATTTAGTGAGATTTACATTAAAGAAATTTTCCATTCTCTAATCAATAAATTGATTACAATGTAATACTGTAATATAATTGCAGTTAGTTTTATTAGAAATAATGTTAATAAAATTCATTCTTGGTGTTAGCTATTACAAATGTGTAAAGTACGTCCAGACCACATTATGGATTAACGAACATAATTGCATAAACACCTCGAATCAATAAAGGGAATGCAGAAATTAACAAAAGGCTATCGAAAGTTTTCTGATAATCATTAACCATAACTACTATGATTAAACTTGGTTTGCAAAGAGGCAGCAAATTACAGTATTTACTTAGATAACAAATTATGTAAATGTTCATGTTATTACAATAAGTAAGTGATTTATTTTTTATTTGATAAATCATTTGATTAACTTAAGATGATATATATTTTTCCTCTTACAGATTCTATTAATGCTGTATAGATCAGTTCTGATTTTCATAAAGCTATTGTTTTTATAGATGGATGGACATAGTGATTTTATCTTCATCTTCAAAGAGATTACATTAAATTTTGGAATCATGCCATATATTCTCCTTTACTTGTGAACTAGATCTATATTTGGTATGTAAGACTTGGTTTTAAGGGTGGGTGTTTGATTTTGTCTATGTGAATTCCAGTATTGTATATCTATCTGCCAAAAATACTTAACTAAAATTTTATAACTTATGTAGTATTTAATAATATCTAATTTATTTAAAGAATTAAGATTAAGTAATTAATTAATTAGTTAATTAGATTTTAATTTTTCAGTAATTGATGATAATTATATAGTGATGATTTTAGTTTTATGTACACACACACACACACACACACACACATACACATACATATATATATATTTATTTATTTATAAATAAAAGGTGTTTATCATCATAACTTTATGACCCAGTTCTGGATTCATGGGTATAATATATGGACAAGCTAAGTTGAATGACCTTAGCAAATTCCAGAACAATTTTTACAATGTTTCTTTTGGATATATTTATAAAGTGTACAAGCATATAAGTAGGTTTATCTTGAATGATTTTTCTATTTAGTGGCATTTAATAATTTGGTTTAAAATTATTGCATTCAGTAACAGGAAGTAAATGTTTCCTGTTTTGATTATTGAGCAAGAATTTTTGTAATTACAGGATTTACGTAATTATTTTTCGTCTTAAATCTGTAGCGTGTTTTCAAATGTTAAGTTATAAATAGATCATTTTATAGTATGTTTGTGTGTGTGAGTGGAAAGTATAGATTATTTAAAATATAATCGGTTATTTAATACCCCTTAAGAATTAATTAGTTTCATAAATGGGAAGGATTTCCTGTGTTATCGATGTTAGACAAACAAATTTAAAGATGGTTATTTTCCAACCCAAAAAACACCATTCCTTCCGTTCGTTGGAGTGTTTCGATTTTCCGTGCCGTTTCCCACCACACAAGCAATTGTTTCGAGCCGATAAGATAGGAACAAACCGTAAAAGGAAAGACGTTAACGAAGTTTCGCCCAGAATTCCTCGCCTGCATACTAAATATCGATTAAACGGGTGCGACGTCTCGGTCGAACGGAATAATAATAATAAGAGAGAGAGAGAAAAAAAATAACAATAATGAATTGGTTATCGAAGGTATTTTCGTAACTTATAGTTTAGATAGTAAGGTTTACGGGGGTCGTAACGTTGTGGAATTTAAAGGTAAATGCCATTCGAACGTTGGCTAAGATGGCCAAATTCCACAAACGTTAATTGCGCAGAAAGAAAGAAGGGGGAGGATAATCTGCAAAAGGTCTGCAGTCGGAATCAATAAACGGGACGATGGAATGAAAGCGACTGATTGGGTACCGTCTGTACGCCGACGTCATCAATGCACACATCATTGCACCGATGGCTTCCGAATTTATAGACGGGAGGTGAAATGGTGTCGAGTTCTCTTTTCGACAATTAAATAACCACTTGGTGTACGTTTCGCGTATTGCTTTTTATTATTATTATTTCTTTTTACTATTTAACACCTTACCTAACATATACATATATATTCATTGTAACTAACAATTAGTGTAGGAAACCCAGTTTGTTGCAATTTGACAAAGAGGACGGGAGACACCGAATGTTAGTGTACGGTTAATTGCCACGTCCTGTTGTAGTTCAGCAAGTTTTAAAACACGAGTCGTTCACTTACAGGAACTTCCCCTCGCGTTTACCTTGGGATAATACGCAACAAGTAGGAATATATCCCTGGAGTTACGCTGCTCGAAAAACATGTTCGAGAGTGTGAATGAGAAAATGAATAAGGGAAGAAAAAATACTTAATGAGAAAGTTGAGTTAACCAAAGAACAGAGCGTCGTCCCGCACGGGGACGAAAGCGAGAGGTTGATAAGCTGGCTACTTAAATAAGAAAGAAGAAAAAAAAAAGTGAAGCGAGAGTACACACGAAGCAGTCCGTCCTTACGACTTGAACTACCTCTACATTGTATTGACTTGTACGTTTAGGTGATAATCTGCCACTACGTAATGTTTTGAGCGGGCAAGCAGAGATGGTTTTGTAAGGATGCGTTTTATTCTCTTCCTTCTCGGACGACGTCATCGATTCCATAACGGATTGAAGGTCCTGCGAAGATCGCTATTGTTTGAAGACGAAAATTTTCATCAAGGGGACAAAAATATTACAATTCGTCACTAAACACAAGCAAGCAGTTGACAAATAGTCGGATCATCACCATTACCACGTAAGGGGGTGGACGGTAGCTAGTGTGTGACGTGTCGCTCGTTCGCCCGTCTCCGGTTTGTCTAAGTGTGTCATTCTATATAGTAAGTACTGCCGGTCCCGGCGTTTTCTATCGTACGGAGACCAAAGTTTACGTTTACTGGAATGATATGAGGGATTTTGAAGGTTTAGCCAGGCAGCAATTATCTGTACCCAACGGGAGAGCCGAGGGGGTTGCATCGATGCCGACGATTAAAACACATCAAGGATTTCTTATGTGGAAAGTGATAAGGAATTTTGTAATTCCTTCGTGCTGTCGATTTTCTTTTCTCCGCTTTTTCTTTTTTGCTGTTCCTTGACGATGAGTCATTTTTGTGTAATTTTCTGTATTGTGTTATTGATCGATTCTTCTGGTGTGTTTTGTGGAGTCTGCCGTTTCTGCTTAAATAGGTAAACACTGTTTTGTGTATGGCTACTGGATTTTCTTTCGTTACTCGCAGACGTTCTCGATCGCCTTTACGTTTAATCAATTAGCGAGTGTATATGTGTATATTGTACTTAAATGTACACATATATTACTGTTAGAGGTGGTATTGTTTTATATGTATGTATATACTTAATGCACTCGCTTCGTTTAACGTGTTTTATGCGAATTTGTCGATCGTTAACGATCTTAGCAGATCGGCTCGCTAGACGTATTTTCGTAATCTCGTACGAATTTCATTGCTTTTTTTGTGCATCGTCGAAGGGCAATTTGATAGCGTTTATACGGCATACAGTTTAAGTAGGTTGTATGGAAATAGGGGCATTGCTCCGTCGAGCGACGTTAACTTGGCATTTTCGGAGAAGTAAAGCAGAATTATCGAGCCAATTTTCATTATGCAAATCTGACAGCGGTCCAGGAAATGAACTGTTGCACACGTTTTAAGTTTACCTTTTAACGTTACGTATAAAATACTACGTCTTTCGATGATTGGGACGTTCGGCGCGGCCCGTACGAGAAAGCTGTTTCGCTCGGACGGGAGACGGCAGATGGAGGGTGTGCTGATCCTCACACCCTGCGATGTGGTTGTATATCAGGCAGGTCATTTCGCTCACGTGACCGGACCGCTTGTCCTGCTTGGTGTCCTACCTTGCGGCAGTCATGTGACCATGTCCGTGCATCTAAACTGGGCTGGATAACAAAGATCAATAGCCTGGAGCCTTTGTTCTGGTCTAGACTGGGGAGGGAAGATCAAGCATCTACGTTGGCATTGTGAAATGAAGTGCTCTCAACATGGCTCCCCACTCTTTGTTCCCCCTTACGCAGGTTAGATAAGTTTTGACTTGGTGCATAAAAGTTCGGTTGACATGTCTGATCACTCGTCGATTGCGTTAATATATAAGAGGAAACATGGCGTAAGTAATTTGTCGTTACGGGATAAGGGTTATCGACAAATCGCAATTGCCAACTGTTGTTTTATTGCCGATACGTTTCGAACTTGATGATTTTTTAGTTTAATTTAACGATTAGTCACTTTTTATGCTAAGATTTAAAAGTATCGAGCGTGACGATTACATATCCTTGAATGATTGTTAGTAAAATATGGAGGGCAAACTTCCTTGTTTTTGTTGAACCGTGGTTGTTTAAAGGATGTCCAAACGAACTCCATGTTTGTTTGCTCCCAAATGAAAGGAACTTTGAAACTTTTAAATGGCCGTTTCTCAAATGTTTTCTGTCGTTCGTGTAATTAACACTTTAAATTGATTTTTTTTCTAATTTAATGTTTATAAAATAACTTTTTAAAAATTTTTATTTGATTATTTCTTATTAAATGAAAAAAAATTCCACAAGTTGAGGAAACTACAATAATTGCTATAGTTTGTAAGTCTGGGTGTGTCATTTGTTATTAAAATAGTAAATATTATTGATATTTAAAATAAATTTATTATAATTTAATTAGCGTTGTTGCGCTGTTTTAACATGTTTAATTCATTTACAGCTTCTAAAGAAAGATGTCTGCACAATGTTCTGATACTAAAAGGGATCTAAAAAATTACATTAATTTGCATTCGGACAGGTGTGTGAATTTTAATGCTTATATTTAATTTTTAATTGTCTATTAAACGATATTAGTCATTAAAATATATAAAAAGGAAGTAGTTTATGCCTAATTTAAACACATTTTATGATTTGCACTAAATACTTTATTGAAAGAGTTAACACTATGGCTTCCGTGATACTTTTACATTTCTTAGAGTTTTTAAACTCCTAGCTTTTCAAAAATATTTCATTAATATTATTAATTTTTCGTTTTTAATATTTATAGGTTATTTTCTCCTTTCTTCCTTACACCATGTGTTTTTGGAAATAGACAAATAATAGCTATAGACAATTATAATAGTTCTATTGTTTGGTTTATTAATTTACATTTCTTAGAGTTTTTAAACTCCTAGCTTTTCAAAAATATTTCATTAATATTATTAATTTTTCGTTTTTAATATTTATAGGTTATTTTCTCCTTTCTTCCTTACACCATGTGTTTTTGGAAATAGACAAATAATAGCTATAGACAATTATAATAGTTCTATTGTTTGGTTTATTAATTTTTTTTTTTGTATTGTCATTCTTGTTTTTCATTTTTTAATGAAGTTTTAATATTATTTTATAAATTTTATTAAATAATTTATTTTAAAATATTAAATAAAATTTAGTGCCGAGAGAATTATTTAACAATTTCTGTCGATTAATATTAATTAAAGTGAAACATAATAGCTTTTTGTTGACTTTTAAAAACTTTTGTTTTTAATTGCTTCTAATCAACATTACTAATTTATTAAATTATACAGACTTTCTGTAATAATTAGGTTGATGTCGAAACATTATTTCAAAATTTGTACCTAATTAAACTTTATTTTTTACAAGTTTTGTTTTGAATTTAATATTTTTGGTGTTGCCAATACTAACTATTCATATTCAAGCTAGAAAAATTTAGAATTTGAAACTGTATCAATTTTTACAAAATAATAATCTGATTTTCATATAGTTTTTAAATAAAAATTTTTTTTTTATATGTTATAAAAAATCTTTTAAAATATAAAGCAAAAAGATAATGATAAATTTAACTTAATTTTTAACTATACTTTTAAAAAGTTCTTGAGATATTTATAGTATTTAGAGGAGTCATGCAAAATTTTGTGAGGATTTTTTTAAGGTGGTGGTTATTTTATTTACAAAAACTAATAAACAAATTTTTGTTGGTTATATTTTAATTACATGTTTGGAAATATTTAAACAATTTTTAATGTTTGTCTTATAAAATAAAATTAATAAGTATAAGAAATATATATTGAACATCTTATCAAGATCTAATTTAACTTGTGCTTTCTCTGATTATTAATTATAATACCACAAATTTTAATTATTCAAAAATATATTTGATATGAACAGCTTTCACTTTTAGATGTATACTAATATATTCAAACTTGAAAGTGTACAAACACCAACTTTACACCAAAATCAATCATAATAAATATACAAATGACTCATTTGAAAAATATTTATGTTTTCCAAATTTAAGATTGAATTGTTTCTTATTGATAAGTATGCTTTAAAGATAAACTGCAACTCATACTTTCTTTTAACTGCCAATTGACCATCACTGTTTTAGCACTAGAAATTCTGAAACTGTTACATATCTGTATTATTTTACTCCTGATTGATTCTGTTATAAACAGAATCAATCAAACAGAATCTTGCTGTTTTTTTGGCAGATATTTTAGAATTTTATCAGGCCTGTTATGATACAATGAACGTTTTATAGTTCAAAATTTTTATTAATAACATTAATATAAAAGTTCATATGTTTATAGAATTTACTACATAATTCAATTATAGATTATTTTAACAAAGAAAATATAAATGCAACATTAAATGTACTAGTTTATTAAAATACATTGTGGATAAATTTATTTTATTTTTTTTTTACATTTATTACATTTTTCTAAATGATTGTAGTAAACATTCAAAATAAAACTATTGATTAATTTTAATATTAAAAATTTTTTAGCATTATAAAAGTGGAGGAAGTGTGAAACTTTGGAGTAATATTACTTTTAATTTCATGCACTGATATTTTTCTATTGCAGCATGAGAACTGCATCTCGAATCATGACCAGTAATAGAGATTCTTCCTATCATTCTAATTTTCCAGAAAATGAAACAATAGATTTAAGTATTAAAAGAAAGGTTCCTGTGGAACTTGAAACAAATCTTGAAGGACCATCATCATCAGGCAAAAGCAATAAAGAAATAGGTGTTGTTATTAAAAAAAGAAAATCTTTAAGTTTTCAATATTTGGATAAATCACATGTGAGGTCTCAGCCTTCAAGAGCTGCTCGCTATACAGAATCATATAGTTTAAGTGCTAGTTCTTCACCTGATGTAGTTGTTTTGTCTGATGAAGAAAACATGCAATTAAATGGACATGTTAATGGTTTTGAAAGTGATTCTCGACCAGAATCATCTGATTCAGAAGCTGTGGAATTGCCCCTTCCTCCTTTATCGAGAGAGTTAACAAAAGAGGAATATTTAGAACGACAGAAAAAAATATGGAAGTTACGGGAGAAATTGAGAACTGAAGAAATGAAATTAGTGCTTCTTAAGAAACTTCATCAAAGTCAACTAATGAAAGAGACTTTATTGAATTCATCAGGAACAATTTCAGGAAAATTATCTTCAACAGGTCGTGTTGGAATAGCACCCACAACTCCTCCTCCTCCTCTAGTTCGTAGCAGCCACATGAGTTCACATAGTAAAACAAGCATGCAACATCATAATCAGCAGTCTTCTTTAATGGTATGCTTTATAATTTTTATAATTGAAATTTGTTTTGCTATATAATGTAATTTTATTTTAATTGATTTTGTGCACTTTGGATTATTTTATTAAAAAATGTGGAATTACAACTATTTTAAAGTTATAAAATGATTAAAAGTAAAGTTTGCGTTAAAGATAAAAGCTGTAGTGTTATGCAGTTTAAATGGGTGGATATATTTTTATAATACATCTGATATCTATTTTATGGAATAAATATTTTAAATATAAAATTAAAAATTTCTAAGGATATTATTATTTTGAATAAGGGTAAGTAATTTACTGTGTTTTTAATTTTATGGAATTCAAATATATTTTAAGCTTTTTATCTTATATACATACACACATATATACGTAGGTATGTGTGTATTTGTGTGTGTGTGTGTGTGTTTGTTTGTTTTTTTTATGAAGATATTGATGGTTTTCTTTAAGAATAAGTGAAAAATAAAGCTTATTCAAAAAAACAAATTTTAAATTATTAAGCAAATATAAATATAGAATTATTTACCGAAAGAAAATTTGTGTGTGTAAATTATAATTAATAATGAGCACCTGAACTTTTTATTTCCTCAGTAACATTGCTTTATCACATTAATGTGATAAAACAGATAATGAGATAAAAGTATTTTTAACGTGTTTAAATATGAATTTTCATATCTTGTACTATGCAAAATTTAAACAATTCAATGATTATCTATGTTTAGGAATTATATATAAAATTAAATTTAAATATTCTTTTTGAAAATTATTTCATTCATTGAAAGCAAAGTTGTTGTTATTGGTTTTGTAGTTTATAAAGAAATTCAGTATCAAATTATTTTGTGTTTTCTTCGTTTATAAATTAAGTTTTTCTTTGTAATTTTTCTCACGAAACAGAATTGACTTGATGTAGTTTAATAAATGACACCACTCAAAATTGAAATATGGTAAACATTTATTTTTTATAGACTAATAGAAAGAGAATAGCTATTATAGCTAAATTATTATTTTTTTGTTGCAAAAGCATATTAAAAATTTCTTGAAAATCTTTATGTGAAAACAAAAAGCATTACAGGTTACATTGAAAGTGTGATGTAATCAAGTGTTTATATAATTTATGTAAACTGTTCTAGATATAAATATTTTAATATCTTGGTCATATTATATGTTAATGATGGGTAATGTTTATTGTTGTTAGTAACGAGTAATCATAATTAAGTAGTTAGCCATATTATATTCTACATATTCATTATTATTATTAATAAAATAATGGTTAAACTTAACCATTTAAAATAAAGAATTATAAGATATCAAATTTCTCTGATTCCAAAACACAGATTAATTTCAAAATCGAATTTTAAGATTATTTCTTTCAGTTAAAGGAAAAACTTTAAAATAATCAACTTTACATAATAACAAATTAGAAAAACAATACAAAAGTTACAAAGTAAGTAAAGTTCAACAGTTTTATTTCCATGCTCATCTACATATACAATAACTCTGCTTTTAATGCTAAAATATAATGTTATCTTTGATGTATTTTTAACATCAAAAAAAGGAGTTTAAAATTAAATGCTTGTTACCAGCAAACTTGATTTCAACTGATATGACTGTTGAGCAGTTTAGCCAAAAATGTCTATTATTAGTTCACAAAACATCATGTGGGCTATATGCAATGAGTGCTGATTGTTGCCTTAGTCTGTGAATGAAATGACTTACAATTACAGTCCAGAGAATGTAAGAAGCATCTTTATTTTGGCCAAGTAAATGCATCTTAGAATTGAAGAAATATGGCATATAACTCCAGTTTTGATAATTTTACAAAATATGTATAAGTGGAATGCTTTATAAAATGATATTAAAAAAACAAAAAAAAACTTAATTGATTAGTTACCAAATGTAGGGAAACATGCATCTAAAAACCAGACTATTTTCAGGCCAGAATTAAGCTAATTTTCATTAATTAAATTATAGAATTTGGTCTAAGCTGCTGTGTTGTGCTAAAATTAATAATAAATTGATTTTGAATTTAATTCAATAATTAGAAAATACTGAAAATAGCTTGACCTATAAATAATCAAACTATTAGGCATATGTTTGACTATTAAAATAAGGCTTTAGTTTATGTATATTCATCAAATTTAAATATCAAAATATCTTAAACAATTTGGTGTCAAGTATTGATAAATTTTATCAGAGACATGAAAAGCAATTTTGATTGATGATTGCATTAAATATAGACAAATAATAATTATTATTATTATTATTCAAACATCTATATTTTATTCTGAATGTGTTGTGAATCTCCTATATTTTCAGTGTTTTCTTTCACTGCTTGGTTCATGTGTGTTCTTTTTTCCACACCATTGTAGTAAACTAAACTGAATGTCATAGGAGCATTTAGCAACTTTGTTCATTTTTTACAAATTAGTTCCTATCAAAAACAAAAAGTAAATGCAGATTATTTTTTAAATACATGACAAATTTATAAAATTAATATGTACTATTATTTTATATTTTAGTATAATATATAATAAATACAGTAAAAAAAGTTTAGATGTGAATTATGGATTAAACAAAACCCTAATGTCTCTTCGAACATTAATATTTTTGATTTTAAGAATACAAGTTAATTAAGAATTTTAGAAAAGAACAGAATTTTTGTTATGAGAGTAATTAATAAATAATAGGATGAATTATCTTTTTGAATTTTTTTTGGAATCTTAATAATCCTTAGTAACTTTTCACTAATTGAAATCAAATAACCTTGTATAATAATTAGTTTGAATTAATACCCTTTGCTTCCATTTTTGAAATAAGTGCTAAATTATGCTGAAACTTTCTTTAATAGAATTATATTAAAAGTATGAGGAAAAAATGCTTAATTTGGTTTCTGGAATTAAGCATTGTTTCCCTCATTTTTTGAATATGTTTCAAAGTTCAGATGTTATTTTTGTTGAATTATATTAATTTAATAATTTACAAAATTTTAAAGTGAAGATAGACATTCTGCCATATGTTAACTCAAATTTTTTAAAATTTTTAATTAAATGTTGATGTGCCTGAAAATCTGGAATGTGATTTATCTCTGCAATTCTCCCATAATATGTAAATATGTTGTATGTTACTCCATCTGAATTCAAGACTTAAGCAGCAGATCTTGTGTAATGAATAAGAATTGTAAGCTTTTGAAGCCTAATGTTTTTCAGATTTCCGAATCTAAGTACTGTATTTCCTGTAATAATTGGCCACTGGGTTATTATTATTGTTGTTATTAATGTTTTTTCTTGTGGATCATTGTTGAAGTAAAAAATATATTGACATTGTAAGAAGGGAAAAAGCATGGTTCCAAGAAGGATGCGAAACTAGTTATATAACTAGTTACAGTTATATATATAGAAATCTAGTTATATAATATATAAAAATAATTTGAACGAAGTATCGAATTACCCTAATTAACTTCATACCTTTTGATGATTTCCAATATCAATAATGATATTAGTATCTGTTTTTCCAACTTTGATGTTGGAAAATATTGTATTGATAGCTGATTATTTGGTATTGAAAAATACTAACCAGGCCAGCCAGTGTGGTTCATCTCACGATACAAGTTAGATGGGTGAATATTACAAGATTATTTGTGACTGATTTATTATAGGAAATACAGTAATTAAAATTAATTAAACTTTCAAATAAATGTCAATATTCTATTTATAGTTTAGATTACACTAATGATCTACAAATTTTATTCAAATTCTTACATAGAAATTTTCAATATAATTTGTTTGTTTTACCATCTATCTTGATTGAAATATTAGTTGATTAGTTAAATCATGCTTTCTTTCCTACTTTAACTCAAAGTTTAAGAATGAGTTCATGAGTTCAAAGAATGAAATCATTTCTTTGTGTTCTTTTTAATATTTTCATCTAGTAGTCTCTTTATTATTGTACCAATCTTGACACTTTTTTTTTGTTTTATCTGGTCTCTTTCCTACTATCCCTACCTTATAAATTTTATGTGATAGTTCTGTACTTTACATATCTTATCATCATAGTCTTGTTTCTTTATGATGATTGTTATGATGTCTTATTTTCTTTATGATGATTGTTATTCCAGTTTTTTGTTTAGTTTTCTCATTTCTCAATTTTTTTTAATGACAAACTGATTATCTATCCCAGTATGCTCATTTCTATTCTCTTGGTGGTTTTTATTTTCTGTTTTCACTTAGAGCTCATGTTTGTACTCTCTAACAGAATGGATCTTTATTATGGTTTGCAAATCTTTATCTTTAGTATTTTGATATTCTTAAGTTGTGTGCCGCTTGTGATATCTCTAGTTATGTTTTTATATCCTAAGTGAATTGTTTTTTTTTTCTTTTTTCCTCTTGTTTCTGTTTGTTTCCTTCTAGTGTACTAATAACTACACCCAAATACTTGAATTATGGTATTTGTTTTAGAACATTACTCATTCTTTAAACCATAGATAGGTTTTGTTCTCTTCTTATCGGGATATTCCAATTTTCAATGCAAATGTTGAGTGTTGAAGTCAACAATTTGACATCATCAATGATGTTCTAACTCAAGTACGAAGTGCTTAGTTCCCATAATTCCATTCTTAGCAAGATGGATTCCATTCAAATGTCTTACCAATTACTCACAATTCATTGGAAAGTAGCAGTCAACATATCTGTTGAGTGCTGAGTGTGTTGAGGTAGCGCTGTTGTCAGCACTACCTCAACGTTGAAAAAAAGGAACAAATTTTAATGAACATTGAGATCAGCGCTGAGTCAGCGTTGAAAATTGGAATGTCCCATATGCTAATAATTACCTCTGATCTTTCATTAACTTTTAACCCTTCAGTTTTTAGAGTTTCTTGCTACATCCAAATTCTTCTTTATTATTATTCCTCTGTGTCTGCTGTAATAATTACATCATCTGCACGCACAGTAATTTCCAGCCTTTGATCTTACATTTGTTCAATATATCCATAACCAGTACAAACATAAAAGGTCTTAAATGCTAATTTTTAATGTAAGTGTGCTATGTGCTTTCACATCAGACAAATTCTAAATTCCCAAAAGCTGTTGGTACTCCCTTATAAATTATATTTTACTTAAAATCCTGACCAGGTTTTTGGAGAAGTGTTTTTACTCATGTACAAATATATTTTCATAGTTTTTTTTAACTGTTCAAAGTCAGTGAACACATGTTTTTTTTATTATTATTTTCTAAAGTTTTCTCTTGTATTTTGTTTCAAACTAAATATTTTATCATCTATTTCCATACCCATTAAAATAGTGGATGAGTTTATCTATATGTTTAAGCTTTGCATTATGACCATTTATTAATAAGTGATACTTAAGTTAACATTATTAATAATAAAAAGTACATAAATGTTTGATAATGATCAGGAAAACTTAGAAATATTATATCTAAATTTTTAAATAGTCATTTTACATTGAATTATACTTTTGATAACCATTAAAAATTTATTAGCTTGCTACAGATTTCTAAGGAGCCCTTTCTTTATTTTCTTTTTGATTAAATATTTTTTGAGAAAATTACTTCTCGTCTTTAGATTGAATTCTCTGTTCTAGAATCAAAATGGTTTGTAACACAGAATACTTTTATTTGAAACTTTGAATCACTGGCATTTTGATTTAGGAGATAATTAATTTATAGTTTATAAGATGGAGTCATCTGCTTAGAGAAAATCAATTGTTATTTCAACAATACATATGTAAGATTTTAGTAATAGAAAGCAGAAATCTCAATATCTTTGAATTTGTAATGATTCAAAAATGACAGCAATGAAATTTGTAATACACTAAAGAATGTAACAATACATTGGAAAATGTTGAATATTAACATTAACAAATGTTCATATGCTAATTGTGTATTACAGTGACTATATTAATTTGTTTTTATTTGTAGCTTCTATGAATGTAATTTTTGCTTAATGTAAAATTAAATATCATTAATTAATTATTAATCATTACTTATTATCTGGAATTTACAGTACTGGTTTTTAATTTTTGTCTCAATTTGCATATGTTATAATTAATGAATATATTTTCTTCATAAATTAAAAGAACTTCTATGAAATCTCTAAATAAAGTGTGTATCTTTTATTATTAGAAATAATAAAAATTCTACTTTGTAAGTGTGATATATGGCATTGTTATCAATATAATTTTATGATGTTATAATAAATTATTAAATCATAAAATTCTGATTTCTTGTTTATTTTGCTAACTATAAATATATAAAAATTAGCATTTTATTTCATTATTATTTGTTTAAAAATTTGTCTGATATTTCATAATTGTTACAAACGTTTTCAAATATTAAAATTTAATAGATCTATTATGTAAATTTTTAGAATTATGCAATATATTTTCATATTTTATTAATTTTTTTACATGTGAATTCCATAAAATGTTTACCAATAAAAATTCTTTATTCTGCATTTATTAAATTATATTTATTTTATATTTAAATTTTCTTTAAATTTGTAGATACGAATAATTACTGTAAATATTAATTATTTTCAGTTGAAAAAGTCTATCCAAACTTAACACAACAAAAAATTAACATTTATTTTGGAAGTTTTTACGAAATTTATAAAATGATAAAGATTAGTAAATAATATGATTGAAATATTTAAATGGTATGAATAATGTGTTTGCTTTCTATGATTTCAATTAATTCATTGTTTATTCATGTTTATGTCACAATTTAAAATTTTAAAAGTGAAATGTTTGTCTTAGCAGATTGTCCACTGAATGACCTAAAAATAATTTTTAAATATATTTACAGTATTTTAAAATTCTATCTTTTAGTTGCTTGAAATTTTTTGTGAAAATGTCTTTAGTTCATAATTTATCTATTTTATCCCTTTCTAGTTTATGATGATAATTGAGTATGGTGAATATATTATCATAAAACATTTGAAATAAAAATATTTTTCTCATATACTTTAACTTGACCTTCTAGATACAACAGAATTTTTACTATTTTTGCTGCCATTCTATGCAATATACATTGTTGTTATCTGTTGATATTACTGATTGCATTTTCTTTATTTATCAATAAATATTTATTATTTTTAACATGTTATAAACATTACACTATACAAATATTTAAAATTATAATAAATGATAGTTTAAATNTCTTATCAAGATCTAATTTAACTTGTGCTTTCTCTGATTATTAATTATAATACCACAAATTTTAATTATTCAAAAATATATTTGATATGAACAGCTTTCACTTTTAGATGTATACTAATATATTCAAACTTGAAAGTGTACAAACACCAACTTTACACCAAAATCAATCATAATAAATATACAAATGACTCATTTGAAAAATATTTATGTTTTCCAAATTTAAGATTGAATTGTTTCTTATTGATAAGTATGCTTTAAAGATAAACTGCAACTCATACTTTCTTTTAACTGCCAATTGACCATCACTGTTTTAGCACTAGAAATTCTGAAACTGTTACATATCTGTATTATTTTACTCCTGATTGATTCTGTTATAAACAGAATCAATCAAACAGAATCTTGCTGTTTTTTTGGCAGATATTTTAGAATTTTATCAGGCCTGTTATGATACAATGAACGTTTTATAGTTCAAAATTTTTATTAATAACATTAATATAAAAGTTCATATGTTTATAGAATTTACTACATAATTCAATTATAGATTATTTTAACAAAGAAAATATAAATGCAACATTAAATGTACTAGTTTATTAAAATACATTGTGGATAAATTTATTTTATTTTTTTTTTACATTTATTACATTTTTCTAAATGATTGTAGTAAACATTCAAAATAAAACTATTGATTAATTTTAATATTAAAAATTTTTTAGCATTATAAAAGTGGAGGAAGTGTGAAACTTTGGAGTAATATTACTTTTAATTTCATGCACTGATATTTTTCTATTGCAGCATGAGAACTGCATCTCGAATCATGACCAGTAATAGAGATTCTTCCTATCATTCTAATTTTCCAGAAAATGAAACAATAGATTTAAGTATTAAAAGAAAGGTTCCTGTGGAACTTGAAACAAATCTTGAAGGACCATCATCATCAGGCAAAAGCAATAAAGAAATAGGTGTTGTTATTAAAAAAAGAAAATCTTTAAGTTTTCAATATTTGGATAAATCACATGTGAGGTCTCAGCCTTCAAGAGCTGCTCGCTATACAGAATCATATAGTTTAAGTGCTAGTTCTTCACCTGATGTAGTTGTTTTGTCTGATGAAGAAAACATGCAATTAAATGGACATGTTAATGGTTTTGAAAGTGATTCTCGACCAGAATCATCTGATTCAGAAGCTGTGGAATTGCCCCTTCCTCCTTTATCGAGAGAGTTAACAAAAGAGGAATATTTAGAACGACAGAAAAAAATATGGAAGTTACGGGAGAAATTGAGAACTGAAGAAATGAAATTAGTGCTTCTTAAGAAACTTCATCAAAGTCAACTAATGAAAGAGACTTTATTGAATTCATCAGGAACAATTTCAGGAAAATTATCTTCAACAGGTCGTGTTGGAATAGCACCCACAACTCCTCCTCCTCCTCTAGTTCGTAGCAGCCACATGAGTTCACATAGTAAAACAAGCATGCAACATCATAATCAGCAGTCTTCTTTAATGGTATGCTTTATAATTTTTATAATTGAAATTTGTTTTGCTATATAATGTAATTTTATTTTAATTGATTTTGTGCACTTTGGATTATTTTATTAAAAAATGTGGAATTACAACTATTTTAAAGTTATAAAATGATTAAAAGTAAAGTTTGCGTTAAAGATAAAAGCTGTAGTGTTATGCAGTTTAAATGGGTGGATATATTTTTATAATACATCTGATATCTATTTTATGGAATAAATATTTTAAATATAAAATTAAAAATTTCTAAGGATATTATTATTTTGAATAAGGGTAAGTAATTTACTGTGTTTTTAATTTTATGGAATTCAAATATATTTTAAGCTTTTTATCTTATATACATACACACATATATACGTAGGTATGTGTGTATTTGTGTGTGTGTGTGTGTGTTTGTTTGTTTTTTTTATGAAGATATTGATGGTTTTCTTTAAGAATAAGTGAAAAATAAAGCTTATTCAAAAAAACAAATTTTAAATTATTAAGCAAATATAAATATAGAATTATTTACCGAAAGAAAATTTGTGTGTGTAAATTATAATTAATAATGAGCACCTGAACTTTTTATTTCCTCAGTAACATTGCTTTATCACATTAATGTGATAAAACAGATAATGAGATAAAAGTATTTTTAACGTGTTTAAATATGAATTTTCATATCTTGTACTATGCAAAATTTAAACAATTCAATGATTATCTATGTTTAGGAATTATATATAAAATTAAATTTAAATATTCTTTTTGAAAATTATTTCATTCATTGAAAGCAAAGTTGTTGTTATTGGTTTTGTAGTTTATAAAGAAATTCAGTATCAAATTATTTTGTGTTTTCTTCGTTTATAAATTAAGTTTTTCTTTGTAATTTTTCTCACGAAACAGAATTGACTTGATGTAGTTTAATAAATGACACCACTCAAAATTGAAATATGGTAAACATTTATTTTTTATAGACTAATAGAAAGAGAATAGCTATTATAGCTAAATTATTATTTTTTTGTTGCAAAAGCATATTAAAAATTTCTTGAAAATCTTTATGTGAAAACAAAAAGCATTACAGGTTACATTGAAAGTGTGATGTAATCAAGTGTTTATATAATTTATGTAAACTGTTCTAGATATAAATATTTTAATATCTTGGTCATATTATATGTTAATGATGGGTAATGTTTATTGTTGTTAGTAACGAGTAATCATAATTAAGTAGTTAGCCATATTATATTCTACATATTCATTATTATTATTAATAAAATAATGGTTAAACTTAACCATTTAAAATAAAGAATTATAAGATATCAAATTTCTCTGATTCCAAAACACAGATTAATTTCAAAATCGAATTTTAAGATTATTTCTTTCAGTTAAAGGAAAAACTTTAAAATAATCAACTTTACATAATAACAAATTAGAAAAACAATACAAAAGTTACAAAGTAAGTAAAGTTCAACAGTTTTATTTCCATGCTCATCTACATATACAATAACTCTGCTTTTAATGCTAAAATATAATGTTATCTTTGATGTATTTTTAACATCAAAAAAAGGAGTTTAAAATTAAATGCTTGTTACCAGCAAACTTGATTTCAACTGATATGACTGTTGAGCAGTTTAGCCAAAAATGTCTATTATTAGTTCACAAAACATCATGTGGGCTATATGCAATGAGTGCTGATTGTTGCCTTAGTCTGTGAATGAAATGACTTACAATTACAGTCCAGAGAATGTAAGAAGCATCTTTATTTTGGCCAAGTAAATGCATCTTAGAATTGAAGAAATATGGCATATAACTCCAGTTTTGATAATTTTACAAAATATGTATAAGTGGAATGCTTTATAAAATGATATTAAAAAAACAAAAAAAAACTTAATTGATTAGTTACCAAATGTAGGGAAACATGCATCTAAAAACCAGACTATTTTCAGGCCAGAATTAAGCTAATTTTCATTAATTAAATTATAGAATTTGGTCTAAGCTGCTGTGTTGTGCTAAAATTAATAATAAATTGATTTTGAATTTAATTCAATAATTAGAAAATACTGAAAATAGCTTGACCTATAAATAATCAAACTATTAGGCATATGTTTGACTATTAAAATAAGGCTTTAGTTTATGTATATTCATCAAATTTAAATATCAAAATATCTTAAACAATTTGGTGTCAAGTATTGATAAATTTTATCAGAGACATGAAAAGCAATTTTGATTGATGATTGCATTAAATATAGACAAATAATAATTATTATTATTATTATTCAAACATCTATATTTTATTCTGAATGTGTTGTGAATCTCCTATATTTTCAGTGTTTTCTTTCACTGCTTGGTTCATGTGTGTTCTTTTTTCCACACCATTGTAGTAAACTAAACTGAATGTCATAGGAGCATTTAGCAACTTTGTTCATTTTTTACAAATTAGTTCCTATCAAAAACAAAAAGTAAATGCAGATTATTTTTTAAATACATGACAAATTTATAAAATTAATATGTACTATTATTTTATATTTTAGTATAATATATAATAAATACAGTAAAAAAAGTTTAGATGTGAATTATGGATTAAACAAAACCCTAATGTCTCTTCGAACATTAATATTTTTGATTTTAAGAATACAAGTTAATTAAGAATTTTAGAAAAGAACAGAATTTTTGTTATGAGAGTAATTAATAAATAATAGGATGAATTATCTTTTTGAATTTTTTTTGGAATCTTAATAATCCTTAGTAACTTTTCACTAATTGAAATCAAATAACCTTGTATAATAATTAGTTTGAATTAATACCCTTTGCTTCCATTTTTGAAATAAGTGCTAAATTATGCTGAAACTTTCTTTAATAGAATTATATTAAAAGTATGAGGAAAAAATGCTTAATTTGGTTTCTGGAATTAAGCATTGTTTCCCTCATTTTTAGTATCAAATTATTTTGTGTTTTCTTCGTTTATAAATTAAGTTTTTCTTTGTAATTTTTCTCACGAAACAGAATTGACTTGATGTAGTTTAATAAATGACACCACTCAAAATTGAAATATGGTAAACATTTATTTTTTATAGACTAATAGAAAGAGAATAGCTATTATAGCTAAATTATTATTTTTTTGTTGCAAAAGCATATTAAAAATTTCTTGAAAATCTTTATGTGAAAACAAAAAGCATTACAGGTTACATTGAAAGTGTGATGTAATCAAGTGTTTATATAATTTATGTAAACTGTTCTAGATATAAATATTTTAATATCTTGGTCATATTATATGTTAATGATGGGTAATGTTTATTGTTGTTAGTAACGAGTAATCATAATTAAGTAGTTAGCCATATTATATTCTACATATTCATTATTATTATTAATAAATAAAATAAAATAAACCTTTAACTATCCAGCAATAAATGATGTTAATAAAAACGTTTTCAACTGTTTTTAAACGGCCATCTTCAGTCGAACCAATATTAAAAAAGAACGCATAAAATACAAATTAAACAGAAACCGAAATGCCAATGTGTACTTCATCGGACTTAAATCTTTTATTTTAAAATATTAAATAAAATTTAGTGCCGAGAGAATTATTTAACAATTTCTGTCGATTAATATTAATTAAAGTGAAACATAATAGCTTTTTGTTGACTTTTAAAAACTTTTGTTTTTAATTGCTTCTAATCAACATTACTAATTTATTAAATTATACAGACTTTCTGTAATAATTAGGTTGATGTCGAAACATTATTTCAAAATTTGTACCTAATTAAACTTTATTTTTTACAAGTTTTGTTTTGAATTTAATATTTTTGGTGTTGCCAATACTAACTATTCATATTCAAGCTAGAAAAATTTAGAATTTGAAACTGTATCAATTTTTACAAAATAATAATCTGATTTTCATATAGTTTTTAAATAAAAATTTTTTTTTTATATGTTATAAAAAATCTTTTAAAATATAAAGCAAAAAGATAATGATAAATTTAACTTAATTTTTAACTATACTTTTAAAAAGTTCTTGAGATATTTATAGTATTTAGAGGAGTCATGCAAAATTTTGTGAGGATTTTTTTAAGGTGGTGGGAGTCGTTCACNTCACCAGGTACTGGATCAATGTATATAAAAATCAATTCACAATAAACCTTTGACCAGTAAAATATTTATTTGAAAAACAAACGTTTTTGACCGTATTCTTCGGCTGTAAGCACAACGGCTTTTCGAATCTCGAAACGTTTAACCTGAAGAAGGCCAAAGAATACAGTCGAAAACGTTTGTTTTTCAAATAAATATTTTACTGGTCAAAGGTTTATTGTGAATTGATTTTTACAAATAGAAAAAATATAATATATTTCCTTTAGGACTAAACATATAACTGAGTCCATCTTCATTTGTCCTTTCACACACTATATATTTAAGATTTAATATATTTTTTCTATTAAATCTTAAATATATTTATACCATTCTTCTAGTGTAAATGTCTAAAGGTAACAAATTTAATGCCATTGAAAATAGTGTTGAAGAATATATGATTTGTTTTAATAAATTTATGATGTTTGTTCTAATTTAAAAACTTAATAACAAAAGACAGTTTTAAAATACACATCTTCTCATTAAAACAGTTTAAAATTTTAGTTTCATGGCATACTAACCTATTCAAATCAACATCAATGAATTATATATCAATAGATAAAACATGTAATAAATACAGTAAAGTATTGTTGTTGAAATGTCATTTAGGGAAAACTAGAAAAGATTGAATTTTTATTTTAAAAAAGTGCCATATTAAACCAAGATTGACAAAATGATGATGGATTATATAATAATAGGAATGTATGATGTATTTATGGCTAATTGTATTTACTATCTTACTGGAGAGGTGTTTACACTCATCTGGAAAACAAAGTTGAAAGAGAAACAGACGTAGAACATTGTTAACTGTACTATGACACAAGCCAAGAAATATAAGATTGTGTTTTCCCTTTTTAGAACTTTGAGTAAACTAGACTTTCTTCTGCAGT